CTGGGCTGGAAGTTGAGATGTCTTGCCTCCGCCTCCCACAGTGCCAGGATTATGGGCGTAAACCCGCATCTGGGCCTCATTGCTTTCTTTATCTGCACTTTTCCCAGGCCCCTACAGGTGTCTGGTTCTGAGGGAGGGACCGAGGGCAGGGGTCCTCCCTGGAGGTAGACTGGCTTCCTCAGAGACCCCCGGGGGGGGGGGCGCCCTTGGGGGTGGAAGCTGCTTTTCGCTCACTCTGGCTAAAGGTGACCAGGGCAGTGGCAGCTCCACAGGGGCCCCCTCACCCTCTTGTCTCGGTCTCTTCTTGGTTTGCCATGAAGGTGAGCAGGATGTGAGGGTGTTGGGGGGCAGACCCAGGTCCACTGGTGGCAAAGGAAGTTCAGTGTCTGGACCCAGAGCCCACCGGCCCCTCCCATCCCAGACCGCAGCTTCCGCAACCCTAGCAGGGAAGGCAGGAAAAGCAGGGAGACTCACTTCCACCACACAGCTGGCGGCAGCAGCCAGGGATTAGGAATGAATTCTTTTTTTTTTTTTTTTTGTACTGAGAACCAAACTCAGGACCCTGTGTTTGCCGGGCACATGCTCATGCCACTGAGCTATCTCCCTGGCCTGAGGCATAAGTTCTGAGTAACTGGCTGGACATGGGCAGACCCGACACCGGGACCTTTCAAATGCTGGATGTCATGGGTGGCAGGACACACGGGTGGGTCACTGAAAGATGACTTCAGTGATGAGCAGTGTTTTGTCTACACATGTTAAAAGAGCTGTTTTAAACTAGGTGTGGGGATAGGGCCGGCCAAATAGCTCAGCGGATTAAAGAGCCTGCAAGCAGGCACAGGCGCCCAGTTCGATCCTCAGGCCTGCTGTTCTGTAATCCCAGCTCTTGGGAGGCTGTAAACAGGTGGACCACTACAAGTCCAATCTAGTAGTGAGACCTTGAACACCCTGTAGACCCTTCCCCAAAATACAAAATAATAAATAAATAAATAAATAAATAAATAAATGAACTGGGTGTGGTGATGCATACCTTTAGCCCCAATTACTTAGGAGGCTGAGGCAGGAGGATTGCTTGAGCCCAGGAATTCCTGGATTCAATAACTTTGTCTCAAACAATAACAAAGGAGTGTTGAACTGTGTTTTTCCTTTTTGTTTTCTTCTTGTCTCTCTCCCTCTCTTTCATTCTTTCTTTCCTGTCCTGGGATTGAACCCAAGAGTCAGCTACCACAGAGCTACATCCCTAATCCTTCTTACTTTGAAAGGGGACTGCTAAATTGCCCAGGCTGGCCTCAAACTTCAGCTCTTCCTGCCTCAGCCTCCTGATCTGAGATATCAGATGTGTATCTCTATGCCTGGCTGGTTTGGGGCTGTTTCACCACAGATTTTGTTTTGTTTTGTTTTTTGAGATACAAAGCCTGGCCTCAGGCCTCAGCCCAAGTGCTGGGATTACAGGTGTGGGTTTGACCCCGGCTTCCACATACACTTTATCATTCCCCCTTGAGTTGCTCACCCTGACAAGACGGCTTGTAGATCCCAGCCTCCCTGTTGACAGGAGCCTTGTGACACCACTATTAACAGAGACTTCACACTTCATAGAAAAATAGTATGCA